GCAATAAATGCCCACATGAGAAGTAAGGAGAGATCTAAAATTGACACCCTATCATCAAAATTGAAAGAGTTAGAGGAGCAAGATAAAAAAAAACTCACAACCTAGCAGAAGACAAGAAATAACAAAGATCAGAGCAGAACTGAAGGAGATAGAGACACAAAAAACACTTAAAACAAATCAGTAAATCCAGGAGCTGGTTTTTTCGAAAAGATCAACAAAATAGACAGACCACTAGCCAGATTAATAAAAAAGAATAGAGAGAATATCAAATAGATGCAATAAAAAACAATAAAAGGGATGGATATCACCACAGATTCCACAGAAATTCAAACCATCATCAGAGATTATTACAAACAACTCCATGCACATAATCTAGTAAACCTGGAATAAATGGATAAATTCCTGGACACTTGCGTCCTCCCAAGCCTAAACCAGGAAGAAGTCGAAACCCTGAATAGACCAATAACAAGGGCTGAATTGAGGTAGCAATTAAGAGCCTACCACCCAAAAAAAGCTCAGGTCCAGATGGGTTCACAGCCAAATTTTACCAGACACACAAAGAGGAGCTGGTACCACTCCTTCCAAATATTCCAAATAATCCAAAAAGTGGGAATCCTTCCCAAATCATTTTATGAGACCAACATCATACTGATACCAGAACCCAGCAGAGACTCAGCAAGAAAAGAAAACTTCAGGCCAATATCCATGATGAATATAGATGCAAAAATCTTCAATAAAATACCAGCAAGCCAACTGCAACAGCACATCAAAAAGCTTATCCACCATGATCAAGTAGGATTCCTATCGGGGATGCAAGGCTGGTTCAACATACCCAAGTCTATAAACATAATTCACCACATAAACAGAACCAAAGACAAAACCCACATGATTATCTCAATTGATGCAGAGAATGCCTTTGACAAAATTTAACAGCCCTTTATGCTAAAAACTCTCAATAAACTAGGTATTGATGGAACGTATCTCAAAATAATAAAAGCTATTTATGACAACCAACGGCCAAAATCATACTGAATGGGCAAAAACTGGAACCGTTCCCTGTGAAATCCAGCACTAGACAAGGATGCCCTCTCTCACCACTCCTATTCAATATAATACTGGAAGTTCTAGCCCGAGCAATCAGGCAAAAAAAAGAAATAAAGCATATTCAAATAGGAAAGGAGGAAGTCAAATTGTCTTTATTTGCAGATGACATGATTGTATATCTAGAAGACCCCATCGTCTCAGCCTAAAATCTCCTGAAACTAAGCAACTTCAGCAATGTCTCAGGACACAAAATCAATGTGTAAAAATCACAAGCATTTCTATATACCAATAACAGACTTAAAGAGAGCCAAATCGGGCCAGGCGCGGTGGCTCAAGCCTGTAATCCCAGCACTTTGGGAGGCCGAGGCGGGTGGATCACGAGGTCAAGAGATCAAGACCATCCTGGTCAACATGGTGAAACCCCGTCTCTACTGAAAATACAAAAAATTAGCTGGGCATGGTGGCGCGTGCCTGTAATCCCAGCTACTCAGGAGGCTGAGGCAGGAGAATTGCCTGAACCCAGGAGGCGGAGGTTGCGGTGAGCCGAGATCGCGCCATTGCACTCCAGCCTGGGTAACAAGAGCGAAACTCTGTCTCAAAAAAAAAAAGAGAGCCAAATCAAGAACGAACTGCCATTCACAATTGCTACAAAGAGAATAAAATACCTAGGGATACAACTAACAAGGAATATAAAGGACCTCTTTAAGGAGAACTACAAACCACTGCTCAACAAAATAAGAGAGGACACAAGCAGATGGAGAAACATTCCATGTTCGTGGTTAGGAAGAATCAATATCGTGAAAATGGCCATACTGCCCAAAGTAATTTACAGAATCAACACTATCCCCATCAAACTACCAATGACCTTCTTCACAAACTGAAAAAAACCACCTTAAACTTCATATGGAAGCAAAAGAGAGCCCGAATAGCCAAGTCAATTCTAAACAAAAAGAACAAAGCAGGAGGCATCAGATTTCAAACTATACTACAAGGCTACAGTAATCAAACAGCATGGTACTGGTACCAAAACAGAGATATAGACCAATGGAACAGAACAGAGGTCTCAGAGGCAACACAACATACCTATAACCATCCGATCTTTGACAAACTTGACAAAAACAAGCAATGGGGAAAGGATTTCTTGTTTAATAAATGGTGTCGGGAAAACTGGCTAGCCATGTGCAGAAAGCAGAAACTGGACCCCTTCCTGACATCTTACACTAAAATCAACTCCAGATGGATTAAGACTTAAACATAAGACCTAACACCATAAAAACCCTAGAAGAAAATCTAGGCAAACCATTCAGGACATAGGAGTAGGCAAGGACTTCATGACCAAAACACCAAAAGCATTGGCAACAAAAGCCAAAATAGACAAATGGGACCTAATCAAACTCCACAGCTTCTGCACGGCAAAAGAAACAGTCATTAGAGCGAATCGGCAACCAACAGAATGGGAAAAATTTTTGCAGTTTACCCATCTGACAAAGGGCTGATATCTAGAATTTATGAAGAACTAAAACAGATTTACAAGAAAAAAACAAACAAGCCCATTCAAAAGTGGGTGAAGGATATAAACAGACACTTTACAAAAGAAGACATACATGAGGCCAATAAACATATGAAGAAGTGCTCATTATCACTGGTCATTAAAGAAATGCAAATCAAAACTACATTGAGATACCATCTCACGCCAGTTAGAATGGCGATCATTAAAAAATCTCGAGACAACAGATGCTGGAGAAGATGTGGAGAAAAAGGAACACTTTTACACTGCTGGTGGGAGTGTAAGTTAGTTCAACCACTGTGGAAGACAGTGTGGTGATTCCTCAGGGACCTAGAAAGAGAAATTCCATTTGACCCAGCAATCCCATTACTGGGTATATCCAAAGGATTATGAATCGTTCTACTATAAGGACACATGCACATGAATATTCATTGTAGCACAGTTTACAATAGCAAAGACCTGGAACCATCCCAAATGCACATCGATGACAGACTGGACAGGGAAAACGTGGCACATATACACCATGGAATATTAGGCAGCCATCAAAAATAATGATGAGTTCGTGTCCTTTGCAGGGACATGGATAAACCTGGAGACCGTCATTCTTAGCAAACTGACACAAGAACAGAAAATAAATGAGAACACATCGACACAGGGAGGGGAGCACTACTCACTGGGTTCTGTTGGGGGGGAATAGGGGAGGGACAGCAGGGGATGGGGAGTTGGGGAGAGAGAGCATGGGGAGAAATGCCAGATACAGGTGAAGGGGAGGAAGGCAGCATATCACACTGCCACGTGTGTACCTATGCAACAATCTTGCATGTTCTTCACATGTACCCCAAAACCTAAAATGCAATTAAAAAAAAAAAAAAAAAAAAGACAACAGAAAAAAAAAAAAAGATTGCCAACAATGAATACAGTTAACTGTGGAACTGAGTTAAAACGTAGGGTCAAAATTTTGATAAATTATGCTTTCTAGGTTTTCAAATTTATTATATTAGGTCTCACACACAAAAAAGTTCTGCCACATCTTTAAAGATTACCTAAGTCCAATATTATTAAAATACTCTAAGGAATTAAAATTAAAGAGAAATATCTGGGCTGGGTGCAGTGGCTCATGCCTACAACCTCAGCACTTTGGGAGGCCAAGGAATTCTCCTGTCTCAGACTTCCAAGTATGTGGGATTAGAGGTCTCCGCCACCAAGTATGGCTAATTTTTCTATTTTTGTAGAGAGACGGTTTCACCATGTTAGCCAGGCTGATCTTGATCTCCTGACCTCAGGTGATCCACTTGCCTTGGCTTCCCAAAGTGCTGGAATTACAGGAGGGCACCACCGCACCCAGCCTGACATCTTTGATTAAAATAAGAAATAGGCCAGATGTGGTGGCTCACCCTTGTAATTCCAGCACTTTGGTAGAAAAAGGCAGGCAGATCACCTGAGGTCAGGAGCTCGAAATCAGCCTGGCCAACATGGTAAAACCTTGTCTGTACTAAAAATATAAAAATTAGCTCGGTGTGGTGGTAGGCACCTGTGATCCCAGCTACTCAGGAGGCTGAGGCAGGAGAATCCCTTGCACTTAGGAGGCAGAGACTGCAGTGAGCTTAGATCACACCACTGCACTCCAACCTGGGTAAGACTGAGACTCTGTATCCAAAACAAACAAACAAACAAAGGGAAAAAAAAAAAGGCTTAGGAAGCTGTACTGCATTAACATAGAACAGGGTGATTTTAAGAAAGAAGAACTCCCTTCCATAGACTCTGATGTTAAATGGTATTCATACAAGCTTAGTCAAAATCAGACAGGCATAAAAATGGTTACATACATCTACATGTGATAAAATGAAATAAAACTATACATACATACTGTATCGATATCATAGTACTCTTTTTGATACTGTACTGTAACTATTTAAGGGTAGCCATTAGGGGAAACTAGGTAAAGGGAATAGGGAAATTATTCCCATATTATTACTGTGGGAGGTAGGGGGACCCAGTACAGACAACATAATGAACCAAGCTTGAATTCTAGCAGAAGCTTGAGTTCTAGCTGATTAAAAGTCAAAGACCAAATAACGTCATGAAAAAACTATATATATTTTTTACGAAAAAAATGTAAATGAACATACTGACTTGATAATGGACAAAAATAGCTAAATTTGAATTTCTAGGTGTCTGATTTTCTCAACATCGAATTGGAGAAAAACTTATGTGATTACAACTTTCATAAAATCACAGATTTTTATTTAATTTAACTAGTGATGCAAATAATCAGAAACAATTCCCTAGTTAATGAATACCTTTGTCATATAATCTATTACTTGTTGATCTCAGATGTTCCAAAAAGTAACAAAACCTCACCAATCAGTAAATGAAGTGAAACATCCTAAACATTTTAACAAGACTTTTTTAATTAGTCTGATCAAAATGAGAACTTACAAAGACTCACCTATATGTGGCTGCTGAGCTGCTGCTAATGCATATTGCTGCTGTTGAGCTGCAGTTAACTGCTGAACTGTTAGTGCATTAGTCCTCTGAAAGAGCTATTTGGAAAATATTTAATACAAAGATTAGTGTCAAAAGCTTTCATTTCTAATTAGAAAACTGAATAAAACATTTAAACAGTTCTTTCTCAAATACAAGGACACTTTAATCAATAAAACCTTTAGTACTTAAAACCCCTACCATTCATTTCAATGCCACATAGCACTTCAGGCTAAACCAGTATATAGTTAAAAGGACTTTAAAAGGTGAAGGGCATGCTTTACCTGCTGCTGGGAATTGTAGTCAAAAAGGCCTACAGTAGCTCCTGAAGAGTCCATTGGTACCTGATTACCAGGATAGTCAAACTGTAAGGATTCCAGACCAACTTGTTCCATGGCATCCAGATTCTGAGTTTCAGGATTTGAAAATTCTTCAACAAGTGGTTTATTAGCTGTAGGATTAGGAAGGGGCCCCAGTCCTTCTGAGGGGTTAGTATTGGGGCCCAGACGCTCAACTACTTCAGTTGGAGAGGCTTGACGACTTCCAGGAGTACGACTACAGAAAGAAAATAGAAAAGTCTTATGAATAAAAGCAACAAGTCAAAAGGTGAAATGAGAAAGTGGAAAAATCACGAAAAACAAATGGTTATAAAACACAGTGAATAAGGCATTCTGAGTTACTATGCCACCTTATCTCATTTTTTCTATTTAATATAAGTTTCTACTTAAGAGCTGGCATGATTTGAAGATTTAAAAAATATTACTGATTGCTCCCTTCAATCTGAATAACATAACTCAACTTTACAGATTAGAAAAACTGGCCAACATCACAGCTTACATACTACCTGAAATCTCTATCTTAAATCACAGCCACAAGGAACAGTATATAAATAGATTATTAAGTGGCAAATATGAAAAAGCTCAAAACCAAAACCCACTTATCATACTGCTGTCCTGCCCCCTCAACACATAATTTTGCTGCAATATCCTGCTTAATAATACTTAAGAAAAAAACTGGCCATAAGAGATCATTATGGTCATTATTTAAGGGGCCAAAATGTGAGATGCAACGGGAAAAAGGCACCCGTACATAGTAAATCAAAAGGCTGACTCCCGACTTTGTCTTTTAAAAATGATTTTGAGCAAGTCATATCATCTTTCGAGCTGCAGTTTTCTTACTGAGGAGACTTAAGAGCTAACCTTTTGATTCCAACTAATAAGAGCAAAAGAAACTACCTGTGAAAGCCCTCTATGAAAGCCCTCCAAAGACCATGTTTCTCATACCAAATAGTTCAGTTTAAACCATCAGAAAGAAATGGAAATGTATGACAGTTATCAAAAATTAAGTATACACAGCAAGAAAAGGATCTTTCTACATTAAAAAAAAAAAGACCTTACTACTATACAGCCTCCTGAATTTTTCACAAGGCATTCATTAACACTGGACTAAATTTTAAGCATCGGCTTCTCTTTTTATTAATAACCTTCTGGATCTAAACTTCATTTTTACATTTCTAGCCATAATCCTCATTTATAGTTTATCTTGTTTTATATATATATATATATTTTATATAGGAACCTTTCCTTTGTAAGAAAGAGTTTATTTTTCAGAGTAACCATGCATTCACAGTATATTTAAACATGAGTATATTAAGTAAGTGGCAGTAACTGTTCTACCTGGCTTTTAATGCCAGTTGCTACATCTGTCTAACTCTGCCCAACTTTAGGTGCTCTGTATTGGAATAAATTTGATAACACATCCAGTGTAGTTTGCAAAGCAGTCTCTTGATTTTAACAATTGTTCTCTATAGATATTTAAGCAAACTTACAATTGATTTAAATATCAACCATTTTGTTCCTGCAAAATTAGATGACTTCTAACTCCTTTCCCTTTAAGCCACATCTAATTTTGTACATGAACATTCCAAAGGCTCATTTTTCATTTGGAACATATGGAAAGAAAAGATAAAACTAAAAGGGTTTTCTTTAAAACCAGCCAATTTTTCTTTAAAAAAAGTGTCCTATAGTCTTTTAATCATTTCTGTTCTACTCCAATATGTATATATTGATGACATATCAATCAGTTAATGTGGAAATTAATGATGTGCTGGCATAGTGACCATATGACCACAGCTGTTGATTGTGTTAATAAATTTTAACATTGTCAAGTAGTAACTAATACTCTATCTAAAATAATTAGTAATTTAACACATATCTAAAACTTAATGTAATCAAATTAGAATGCTAATAAATGTAAAGTCCACATTAATATTTCAGGGGAGAAGTATAACCTCTCACACAAAATAACTCATATATAACAAAAATAGAGGACATTAGGAAAAAAACTCATTAGTAATGCTATCAGTGGTGCTATTTTCTTGCTATAGTTAATGGTGTATTAACACTTCAATTATAAATGTATACTCTGCAGGGTTTATCATCAACTGAATTTTAAACGCATTTCCTTGACTAAAACTTAGATTACGTAATAATGAAGGACAAACTCAGAATAAAGTTCTAAAATTGAATAGCATTAAATTTATTGTCAAAAGAGGTTTACTGGTTTTGGATGCTTTTTTGCACTCAGAACAGATAGAAATGGCACTGCTTCTAAGGAGCATTGTTATTTTGCTTTTGATAAGTAAAGGCAATAAATGTAAAAGTATACCACCACCATATACCTAATCCTCTTTTATCTAAGATTTCATGGTTCATAAGACCTCAAAGAAACACTCATTTTCAGGTACAGGCTCCAAAGCACCTCAATACTGTAATATTAAAGTACAGACAATCAATACAAAGAAACAACTCCCTAATATGTAGATAAATGTATACTGTCTAACCTAAGACCAAAGGCTAAAGTACTTATTTAACTGCCATAAAAAGACAATAAAATCCTATAACGTAAAAAATTATAAGCTTACAGCTAACTTTTAAAAGTCTCTAATATGTTCCCCACTTGCCATTTTCAGGAATAATATTAACTATTAGCACAAACTTATATAGTGTAAGAAAGATTACTGCTCCTAAGCTAATTTTGTCTCCTCTTTTCTAAGATTAGAAGTTAAATGGGAGGCAGGGCATAAATACTCAGAAGGAAGAAAACTCCACTGAAAGGTGCTCAAAAGCACCCCAAAGAGGGGGAAAAAATCAGAGTAAACCTACAGTTCACTAAAATTTAACAGAGAGGGAGAAAGTTCAAATTTAGACTATTATATTAGCAGAAAAGTAAGTGCAGCTTCTAATATCACTCCTTCAACAGAATGCACTGTTTTAGAGGCTGGTTTGAAGATTATTTTAAATGATTCACAATCACTAATTTTCTTTACAGAAAAAAATAAAATTTGTCCAGATTAACACAAAGTTCAAAGGAAATAAACCTAAATGATGAAAATGTCTGAATCAGTCACATCAACTAATAGTAATAATCCCTAAAAAGATATGCTTTTCTTCTTGAGAAAGTTAAAATCTTACTTAAAATCTTTGCAATCGGCATCCATTCCATTTGGCAAACCTCTGCCATTTATTTTAGAATCATCATCATCTTGTTTAAGATCTCTGTTTTGGTCCTCCTCAAACGGAGAAGCCTTGCCTTTTTGATCTCCTTTCTCAGGTCCATCTGTTTCAGCATCTCTAGTGCCCTGAGGAAAAAGAATCTGTTTGATTCTGAATATTTAATAGAACACAAAAAAAGGCACCATAAGGTGACCTAAAACTACACTATAGTGCATGTAAACAATAAAAGCATTGAATCTTATTTAATTTCGTAGTCAACTAATTTATCAAAGGCCAAAAAATTGAGTACAAACTAGTGATTTATAACAGAAGGGCTAAGGCAACCTTAACTATAGCGGTGCTGGAAAAGCAGTTAACACCACACACTAGATTAAAATTTCTTTAATGCGCAGACAATTTTGTTTAGTTACTTTCAAATCAAGCACTACCAGGAATAAGCAATTTTAATTTTGCAGATTGTGTTTTAAAATTAGTAAAATTTGACTTTTGTAACATGGTTCAGATCCATAAATATTTCCAGTGTTTCTATCATATCATTTTTTTTAAGTGGCTAAGCAGAAGAAAAGAACAGCAATAAGTTACAAAATTTCCTTTAGCTACAGGAAGGGCACAGAAAAATAAAATGATTTAAAAAAATAAAAGCAATGTAACCAAATCACCCAAATATTAAATATTTCTTTATTCAAAATACTTACAAAATTTCCCTTCCTAAATCGAGAATCCAATTTATCAGCAGGAGAAGAACTTAGTACATATTCTACCATGCTCACACCAAGGCCTCCACTTTCTGATCGCGGAGACAGTATTGCATTTACTTCACTGTTTCCATGAAAACCCTGTCCAGATCTTCTCTGTACCATAATAGGCTGGGACATTGAATGGTCTGTTTCGTGAAGAAAAAACACAATTATCTACTTGTACTTCTAAGTTAAAAGGTAGTTACACAAATTAATATACTGAAATAAGAAAAATCAGCACATTGTTTTATTTTGAATATTACTATAATATTTATAAAAAGTTCTTCATTTGGTTAAGACTAACTGGCTGAAGCACATATCTTGAAAATACAGATGGAGGCTGGTCCAAGTGCAGTGGTATTTACAACTAATTGATCACAACCAGTTACAGATTTCTTTGTTCTCCACTTCCACTGCTTCACTTGACTAGCCTTAAAAAAATAAATAAATAAAAATAAACAAACATAAATAAACAAAATACAGATGGACAGAGCGATTTGGCAATAAGCAAAAGCCTATGTTAAAAACAGTACAACCAAAAAAGTCAATGAAGATAGAAATAGTATCCAAAGGATACTAGCTGAAGGATCAGTTTCTTATAAAGATCATTTTAAAAAATTAACCTTCTTTTGACAATTCATAACATAAACCTCCAGGGATAAAACCTGAAAGAAGCCAGACAGCAGGGGCTCATGCCTGCTATCCCAGCACTTTCGGAGGGAGGATCACTTAAGCAGAGGAGTTTGAGACTAGTATGGGAAACATGGTGGGTTCCCATCTCTACAAAAAGTTTACAAATTAGCCAAGCAAGGCAGCACAGGTCTGTAGTCCCAGCTACTCAGGATCTGAGAGCTGAGACCAGGAGGTTGAGGTTGCAGTGTACCATGTTCACATCACTGCACTCTGCTGCTCTGGGTGACAGAGTGAGACCCTGTCTCCAAAAAAAAAAAGAAAGAAAAAGAAAAAAAAAAAGCCAGGTGCAGTGACTCACTCCTATAATCCCAGGACATTGGGAGACTGAGGCAGGACTGCTTCAGCTCAGACATTCAAGACCAGCCTGGGCAACAATATGAAAGCCTGTCTCTACCAAAAATACAAATATTAGCCAGATGTGGTGACAGGCACTTAATAGTCCCAGCTGCTAAGGAGGCTGAGGTGAAAAGATCACTTGAGCCTGTAAGGCTGAGGCTTTGGTGAGCTGTGATTGTGTCACTGCACTCCAACCTGAGTGACGAGAGGCCCTGCTACCCCCACAAGAAAAATAAATAAAAACAATAGGCTGGGAGCAGTGACGAGGTGTATATGAAGAATCCAAGAACAAAACAGTCTGTGCTCCAGAGTATAGGTTTAATAAAAGGCAATTAGGATAGACTAAAAGAGCTTCAACAAAAATATAATCCATGAGACTATGGAATCTGAAAGATGGGCATTCAAATCCAACAGAGCTTAAACGAAAAAGCAAAATTAAAGAAAAAAAGCAAAAATAAGGAGGATGAACATCAGTCCTTCCAAGTCTTAGAATCGATACCACCAAAGGAAGTGTGTTTCTTGTTTATTTTTTTGGTGGGAAGGGGCAAGGTCTCACTATAGTACCCAGCTGGTCTCAAACAGTTGCCAGACTTGACCTCCTAAAGTGCTGTAATCACAGATGGAAGTGTTATACCAGCTATTATGACGCATTAAAAAAAGGTAATCAATGGGGAGTTGGGGGTGATGGGACATTTCAGTTACAGAAACAAGCATGTTCAAATGCCAAGAAGTGCCAGAGAACATAAACCTGATATTCACAAGTAATGTGGTTCTGCTGAGAGGGAGTCCGGTAAGTCTCCTGCACTCATGGAAAGAGACTCTCTTAGAATAACAATTCCTTTAAAACAAGAAGGTGTTATGCATATTTGAATGTGTTTGGCATTCAATATGTGTTTGTTAGGAAAACAAAATTCCATTCATTTCTAATTTTCTCATGTTTTCTAGTAAAAGACAAACACTCATCTTCAAAATTTTATCAGCTGGGAAAGAAGTAGTACAAAAAATTGACTGCGATCATAAATTTCACGTTTTCCCTAACATCCATCTTGAAATAATCTCTTTTTGCCATGCTGTGCTCAAGATGGTTTGCTTTTTAACACCTTAAAAAAACTTAGGTTGGCTGGGCACAGTGGCTCATGCCTTTAACCCCAGCACTTTGGAAGGCTGAGGCAGGTCAATTGTTTGAGCTCAGGAGTTCAAGACCAGCCTGGGCAACATGGTGAAACCTCATCTCTATCAAAAGTACAAAAATTAGACAGTCTTATAACTTGGTCTCAAAAAAAAAAGATAAACAAAAATTTTAAAAACATCTTTGGTTCTGATTCTAGTAAAAAAATTAACTGCATTCAACTTTAAATAATGTCCATCAGCCAAGTTATCAAGCACACACGCTCTCAGCAAGAAATATGCCATTTCTAGGTAAGATGTAACCCAGTTGAAATTACTAAATATTTAAAATTATGAGTCTAACCTAACATAGGTTAATTCTAATTCAAAGAAATAAAAATTCCTTGAGGACAAGAAGAGTCATATTTACCTCTGTATTCTCCAAACCTGGCACATTATGTATCACATATTAGTTGAACTCCAAGAAAATTTACGATGTTTTAAGATCATTTTTTTCTAAATTACTTGTTGCCAACATTTGCAACCTACTTTGTTGAAATTACCAACATTTTCCAGAATTTCCATTTATATTTTAGCTTTTCGGCAATTACTTTAACAATAATGAAATTAAACACTATAGAGAAGTTTTAAATCTTCTAATATATTTTAGTGAATTAGAGAGTAAGAAAATATCTTGTGATTTACACTGAAAAAATAGTAACTGGGTAATTACCACCCAGAAATTTGTCTTCATTATTATTTTGGTCATTCTGCAGAGCTTAAACAAACTATATTAACTTAATAAAAAAAGAAAATATTTGTAAAATACATGATCTATCTATCTATACACCTCTCAGATTTTACTAATATCAGTAAAATGATATGTTAACTACTTTAATACAAAGATAGGCTGAACAAGGTGGCTCAAGTCTCAGGAAGGAGGATCACATGAGGGCAGAAGTTCTAGACCAGCCTGGGCAACACAGTAAGATCCCCTGTCTACAAAAAATTTTTTTTTAATTAGCCAGATGTGGCCAGGAATGGTGGCTCACAGCCTAATCCCAGCACTTTGGGAGGCTAAGGTGGGCAGATCACCGGAGGTAAGCGTTCGAGACCATTCTGGACAACATGAAACCCCATCTCTACTAAAAATATGAAAATTAGCAGGGCGTGGTGGCAGGCACCTGTAATCCCAGCAACTCCAGAGGCTGAGGCAGGAGAATCACTTGAACCTGGGAGGTGGGGGTTGCAGTGAGCCAAGACTGGGTTACTGCACCACAGCCTGGGTGACAGAGCAAGACTCTGTCTCGGGGGAAAAAAGAAATAGCCAGATGTGATGCTGTGAGCCTGTAGTCCCAGCTACTCAGGAGGAAGAGGCCGAAGGATATTTTTAGCCCAGAAGTTCAAGACTGTAGTGAGCTAAGATCATGCCACTGCACTCCAGCCTAGACAACAGAGCAACATGCTCTCTATTTAAAAAAAAAAAAGAATTTAACTATGATCTTTAATTTGCGAGCACTGTCACTCTTACATGTTATACTCGTTATACACCAGTTAATTTTCCCTTAACAGTTTCTTAGACCTAAGTCTCTTACTACTTATGAAGTCGAGATCAAAAACATTTAAAGATCTGCTCCCTTTCTGGAAGCTGTATCTTACCAAGTCTACTTCCTTCTTGGATGTGGCAAATATCTAATAAAGCTAGGCTGAGCTGCAATTAGATAAATCAGTCATGATCATCTAGTACAACTTAAGATTAAACATTTCTATGTTTAATTATTCTGCAGAGCTTAAGCAAACTATAAACATTTCTATGTTTAATTAATCCTCCATTTTCAATGAAAAATCAGAATTTTATTATTTGTAAACTTTTATTCTAGATTCAGGAGTGGGGTATATGTGCAGGTTTGTTAAATAGTTTAATTTGTTTCATGGGAGTTTGGTGAACAGATTATTTTGTTACTCAGGTACTAAAAATAGTATCTGATAGGTATTTTTTCTGATCCTCTCCCTCTTCCTACCCTCTACCTTCAAGCAGGCCCCCATGTCTGTTGTTCCTCTCTTTGTGTCCCTGTGTTCTTATTATTCAGCTCCCACTTACTAGTGAGAACATGTGGTATTTGGTTTTCTGTTCTCGAGTTAGTCTGCTAAAGGTAATGGTCTCTAGCTCCATCCATGTTGCTGCAAAGAACATTATCTCAATCCCTTTTTCATGGCTGCATAGTGTTCCACGGTGCATATGTGCCACATTTTCTTTATCCAGCCTGCCATTGATGGGCATTTAGGTTGACTCCATGATTGTGCTATTTTGCAATAGTGCTGCTATGAACATACATATGTGTGTTGTCTCATGGTAGCACAATTTATAATCCTTAGGGTATATGTCCAATAATGGGATTGCTGGGGTGAATGGTAATTCTGTTTTTACTTCTCTGAGGAATTGACACAATGCTTTTTCCACAATGGCTGAACTAATTTACACTCCCACTAGCAGTGTATAACGTCACTAGCATGTTATTATTTTAGTAATAGTCACAGAATTTTACAATCAGTTAATTTAAAAAAAAAAAACTTAACAAAATCTTATGACAAACACTTCTAAAATTACATTTCTTAGCTACCATTGAGAAAATGTGCACAGATAGGGCTGGGTGCGGTGGCTCACACCCATAATCCCAGCACTTTGGAAGGCCAAGGTAGAAGGACTGCATGAGCCCAGTTATTTGAGACCAGCCTGGACAACACAGTCAAACTCTACAGAAAAATGTAAAAATTTGAAGACTGTCTAAAAAAAAGAAGGTGCATTATGACTTATAAATGCTAAATATATTCATAATTCTCACACATATACCAGCAACTTACGAGAAGTTCCCCATGCAGTCTCTCTCCATTCATCATCCCCAAGAAATATGCTTTTTTGTCCATCTTTTGTTGAATCATCAGGTTCCCAAAACTTTTTGGTAGGCAAAAGCTATTTGGAGGAATAATTACAGTTAAATTTTATACTAATTACGAAGAATTAATATATAAGAAGTCTCAAACATATTACTGATAAGTATACATTAGTTTTCAATGCTAATGAAAATTCAGAATGACCTATTTTCTAAGTTGTTTTGTTAATAACTCCTCACTTACTTTTGTATACTGGGTTCTATAATTCTAGACCTTAAAAAAGGAAAAAAATCAAAAACTACTTCTGACTTTACTTTTCAAACATTTTTATTACAATATTACTTTCTGTATGTGACATAGTAAACCATTAACAAAGGCAAAACCTGAGAAAATGCATGGTGTGTAGAATAGGGTGTGAGATGAAACAGATGTGGGAAAGTCAAAAGTTGATGCTGGCAAAGCTAAAGGATGCTGGCAGATCAGATTATGAGAAGCCTTGAAAGCAGATGTTCCACTGAAGCAACAAGGAATAGAGCAAAGTTAGCAAAGGTGACATACTATGTATTACAAAAACTCAAGTTGCAAGTTGTAAGAAAAACAAATAGAAAGGGCAAGGAGATAAATTTAGGCAAATTACATTAAGAGGGCCAAGAGAGCAAGAACTAAAGCAGAGAGAGCTGAGAAAATAAAATGGATCTGAGAGGCACCTTGGAGTCCAAAGGATCTGAATACAAATGGTGGGAAGAGTGAGTGTAGAAAGAACAAAACTTAAACAGGTAGAAAAGCAAATGGTAGGGCCTGGCCCAGTGGCTCAATACTGTAATCCCAGTACTTTGGGAGGCCAAGGTGGGTGGATCACGAGGTCAAGAGATTGAGACCATTCTAGCCAACATGGTGAAACTCTGTCTCTACTAAAAATACAAAAATTAGCTGGGCATGGTGGCCTGCGCCTGTAGTCCCAGCTACTTGGGAAGCTGAGGCAGGAGAATCACTCTAACCCGGGAGGCAGAGGTTGCAGTGAGCCGAGATCATGCCATTGCACTCCAGCCTGGAGAGACTCCAACTCAAAAAAAAAAAAAGGTAAATGATAGTGCTATTGACCAAAATAGGAAAACATCAGGATAAGTAGCTTTGAAGGGAAGGGAAAAAAATTCAATTTGGTCATGTTCCTGAATTACAGATCTTTTGCTACTAAACATTTTAATTAAAAAACAAACCAAAACACTATTTTTTTTAAAGTCTTTAAATGCTAGGATGGCCCGGGGCTGAAAATGATCTGTATTTATAAAGAGCAGACATGTTAAACAATAATCTGCTCTAACAAAGATCCCAGTAAGTAAACTTTAACCTCTCTTCCTATTTTAAAAATCTTACCATAAAAGATTCATGTAAATATTCAACCAAAATATAAATCTAATATTAATACTAAAGCATACTTGATATATTTAAATAATTGAACATTCATAGTTAAAACCCAAGTTAATCCCTTAAAAATATTGTATAAATAAGCCATTCCAAGCAGATGAAAATAATTCCTCAAAGAATAAAGCGGGGAGGGATAACCTGGGGAGAAATGCCAAATGTGGGTGAAGGGGAGAAAGGAAGCAAAACACACTGCCATGTGTGTACCTACGCAACTGTCTTGCATGCTCTGCTCATGTACCCCAAAACCTAAAATGCAATAAAAAATTAAAAAAAAAAAAAAAAAAAAGAATAAAGCAATGTTTTTATCCCACACTTCATGAAGAAAAGGTCTCATTTTCAAAAGAATAACAAGTAATCTAAAATAAAGTTGTAACAACTAATAAAAGATTTATCACAAAGAAGTGGCTAAAACAGACTAATCTTATGAGGTAGTAAAAGTAAAAGCACCCATTTGAGACTACTCGGAAGTCTTTTGGGATTAAAGTTCTGGGAGTACCTTCATAGATTACTGCTTTAAAACGCAAATTACATATCTGGGCGGGGCAGGGAGGAAGTCTGTAAACCACTCACCAAGTGTGTCTACTTTGACCAAGCTCTATACTATGAGTGTCTTCATTTTCAAACATTTAGAAGTTTTCACGCACAGAAAAATTTAATAATTGAAATTTAACATTCTACCAAAGGCCTTCGCTGATATTCTAAAAACTATTTGCTCTGACATTTTAGATACTGACTCAAATACTTTTAGGAGACCTACTAGCCAGTTATTAAGAATAGGTTAAAATGAACTAAATGTAGGACAAGGCAACAATTCAGGATAGAACAGTTAAAGATGGGGGGAAAAAGGTTAAACAATGTATTGATTAGAAGAGTAATAAAAATGAAAGATTTGCCCCTGGAGAGTCTTTTACTGCAGTAGAAATAGCAACCATACATTACAGAAAACAAAATTAAGAAACTGTTAACATCTATAAAAGACATTATCCAATACCACTTCATGTTAGTTCCTTACTTCACAAACCCTAAAGGAAGGTCAGGAAACTCAGTTTCTTATCAATCTGCTCTTCTATCCTACCTCCGTGTTTGAGTGAATATACAGTGTCTTTTCCTTCAAAAGTATTTGTAACTTGCCCTCTCCATTTCCAAAGAACTCAATCAGTACTCAGGCACACTGCATCAAAATAAAGAAAGAAAACTCCCACTCTGGCATTTACTTCTATACTTCAGATTTTTAAAACAGTTACGTAAAATCCCTAAACCAAATAAACATAATCCAAAGGCTTAAAAGGATTTAAAAGCTAAATTATGTTTTAAATTAAGGTATTTATATAACTTATAATCCAAACTGAAATACTTTTGTGAAAAGAGATGCTATTAATAATTATGCCATGACAAGATACAGATTCTGAACTGTCCTGGGCAAATCAGAATATAAAGTCACTCTACTTACAATGGAAGTTCAAAAGAGGTAAGAACAGATCCTCAAAACTAAGTTGTAGCAGGGAGCAGGGACTCACCACTGTGGGAGGTGAGAGGACAACTTGAGCCCAGGAGCTAGAGACCAACGTGGCCAACATTGTGAGACCCTGTCTCTTTTTTTTTAAATAAAATAATTAAAAAATATTAATAATACAAAATAAATTAGCTGGGTGTGGTGGCGTGCACCTGCAGTCCCAGCTACTTAGGAGGGTGAGATGGGAGGATAGAATGAGTCTGGGAGGTAAAAGCTGCAGTGAGCTATAATTAGTTGAGGCAGGCAGACTGCTTCAGCTCAGAAGTTTGAGACCAGCCTGGGTAACATGGTGAAACCCCATCTTGACTAAAAAATACAAAAATTAGCCAGGCATGGTGGCATGCACCTGTAGTCCCAGCTACTGGGGAGGTTGATGTGGGAGGATCGCTTGAGGCCAGAAGGCAGAGGTTGCAGTAAGTCCAGATAGCGCCACTGCACTTCAACTTGGGCCAGAGAGCAAGATCCTGTCTCCAAAAACAAAATAACAACAACAAATGAAACATCCTAAGTTGCATAGAGAACAAAACAAGGTAACTCCACAGAACACAAAAATGGTGCTTTTCCAGACTTTAATCTTTTCTGTTAATGAAAGATATTAATACTTTTATTTTCTCAACTCATATTACTTTCCTAAATCTCCATTCCTAATATCCCTTGGTATCACCAGCAAACATTACTAAATGTTGTCACTTCCAACAGGAAGCAGTACTGCAAACAGTCAAGACTTGCCCTGAGTTCAAACTGCTCCTTAAGCACTATTACGTGGCTTTGGACTAGTTTTAATCAACCTTTTCTGAGCTTCAGTTTCCTCACCTGTAAACTGCTTAGCATGGCATCTAGTACACAGCAGACACATAAATATTAGGTATCTTCACTACCAACAGTATGAATCCTTTAATGTTATCAAATATGACTTAACTTACTTTCAACTGATTACTTCAAAGATTATATCATTCATTATACTGGTTTTGTCTATAGCTGTTTGACTTCTTTTCTCTTGAGACAGTTTGACTATTCTAGGGGAGGGATGAAAGCCCACTATTTAAGAAGAACGGCTGCCTACTATAGTACGGCACTTTTGCGTAAAAAAAAACTGACCAAGGTTACATATGCAGCTGGTAAATGTTAACAACGGGATTTGAACCCACATTGCTTAATTCTAAGGTCCTTCTCTTTATACTTAACTACCATAAAAGGTAGTTCTTTTCAATCATATTTTAGTTCATCATGATTTCTGAAAATTTCCATATTATTTTCTAGAGATACGGCCTAGCAAAAAAAAAAAAAAATCCAGTATTAGATCACTACTGGGAATAAGGAAAAAATAAAAATGCTTAAAATATTATCATGACAGGTCGGGTGTGGTGGCTCACACCTGTAATCCCAGCACTTTTGGAGGCCCAGGAGGGTGGATCACTCGAGGTTAGCAGGTCAAGATCAGCCTGGCCAACGTGGTAAAACCCCTGTCTCTACTAAAAATAAAAATTTTTCTGGGAGTGGTGGCACATAATCCCAGCTACTTGGGAGGCTGAGGCAGGAGAATCACTTGAACCCAGGAGGCGGAGGTTGCAGTGAGCCGAGATCATGCCACTGTACTCCAGCCTGGGCGACAAGAACAAAACTCCGTCTCAAAAAAAAAAATTATCATGATATTCTTCCTATTACAGTGAGTAAAGTTTAAGATAGAATTGTTAAGATAGAGATTATGTAGACAAATTATGATCAGCTATTGAAACGGTATTTGAAATGTCTGGTTTCCATTCCAGTTATCCCTAAGAACTTAGATTAATGCAAGAGCACTTGAGAGATGTGATTCATACAAAAAGTTGTTACTATTTTTAAAGTTAGTAAGTCATACTCAAGGTCATAATACTAGTGAGAGATCTAGGAGAAAACACAAGTCTCCTTAATCCCCTACCTAGTAAGTCTTCCACTTCACCACACTACATACTATCTCAGTACACAGATTTTCTTTAATGCTTTCTTTACGTATTATGGCGTTGGAAAGACAGGAGAAAGCGCTGTTTATCATAGTAAGCTATAAAAATATTCTCAAAAAAAAAAATACATTAACTCAGTGATTTAAAGTTAGACTCTGAATTTTTTGAACAATTTCAGACAAGACCCTCTTTCTTGTTATTTAAAAAATAAACAGAAACCCAGCTATATGTGCCCCAACAACCATGAGAAATTAAGAGGTATGAGCCTGTGCAGTGTGCCTGACTTAACACTACACTAATGAAGCAGAGTTCAATCTCCTATGGATAGTTTTACTCCTTTTAAGCCACATGCCATATGCAAATCAGTAGTTCTTTTGACAGAAATGTGCTATCAGGGTAAAAACAGAAAGGGCAAGTTTATGAATAGATGAATACAAATCTGTTCTTATTTCTGGATGCCTTCTGATGAGGGCTCAGTAAAGACATCATGATCTATGAAACACAGTAAATTTGAAATCAGTTCTACATGTAAATGCAACACTCTGTACATTAGAGATTTACGACACTTAAGACATAGTAAACAAAAACTATTTTTAAAGAAAGTCAAGATGAGGGCAATCTATTTAAAAAGAGTTTTGCATTAAAAAAAAAAAAAGCATTTTTAGAAAACCTAAGAGCCAGAAACTGAAGGCTGCTTTTAATTTATTCTAATGAATGAATTCTGGTATATAACAAAAACAAAAAAAACCTCACCTGTCAGGAAAGGAGGAGAAGACTGGTGAGAGAGAAACAGGCAAAGAAGGAAATCCGAGAAAGGTTCCCTGCTGCCTGTGAGATGAGGAAAGATAGAAAGGCTTGTGGGAGAGAGAACCCAGAGACAGAAATCTCAGCAGGTTTCTTAGGTATCTCTTTGAGGTGACAGTATTAGTGTTTAAACTGTTAAGAAATAAAACCAATGAAAACATCTTATTTTAAAATATATTTTTACTAGATAAAGGTCACAGATATACTGACGTGCTGCTATCCACCAGGTAGCAAGCAGTCTAAACCCTCGTCACTTTTACTCTGCATATCTGACATGTCCAATAAGAAAGTCTGGATTTAAGCTTTTTTCTCTTAACATACCATTCAACCCAGCTACTCTTTTCCAAAACCCTCAAATACCCTTCCTCCATCCCCCAAATAACTTAACTCTTTCAACCAGTTTCTGATCATGACTTTTGATGTGCAAAGATACCTTTAAAATTATTAAATATTATTTAGAAAGGGTGAAAAAAACCCACCAATTTGAAAACATATATACAATATACATCTAAGAAGTGATACAGGTAGTCTACAGTTAATGTAGGGGTATGACTTTACTTGTTCTTAAAGAATTATCAGCAAGTTCAAATTTGTCACAGACAAGAAGGTTGAAGCACTGTTCAACACTGCTTTTAAGATATATTATTCTGCTTCCTAAAGACCAAAGAAAACCAGTGGACAGGAAAAAACAAACGCCCTTTTCATCTGCCTCTTATTTGCCAACAGCATAAATAATGCCTAACCAGATACTGCACTGCAGTGAAGCTATAGATTTTGTTTAACAAAAAAAAAAAAAAAAAAAAAAAAAAAATCCATTTCTTCTATTTTTCTTAGGGCCGAGAATTTTACCTTATGCACTGGACTAACAAGTTTATTTTGGCAATACTTAAGCTTAAGCACCTTAACTCACCCTTAAATCAGTCCTCTGAAAATGACAAACTCTTTGGAAAACGCTGTTCTGAAGAAGGGGAGGGCTAGCTAGCTGCAAGGTGCCCTCTTGTGGCCCAAAGGAGAGACTTGGACTCTTTTCTGCATCTGAAGAGCACAGCATTGGATGGAGTGAGTCTCATGAAGGTCTCTATTCTACCAAAGTAAAATAATCTCCAGGAGCAAGCAGTTAATTACACATCTTAGGTCTGTTCACTGTTATCTTCCATTAACAAACTCTATGTTAGTAGTACAGAACATAACAAAAATAGATGTCACCACAAGAGTTTCCATAATCAGTTCTCTAAGTATTCATTAGCTATATGAAAACCTAAGTATTTGAGGCCTTAAAATACGTAATGATGAGGTTTACTTTGGTATCCCAAAGAAAATCATAGATTAACAAGAATGACAAAATCCATTAAGAAATGTAAAGTATCTACTATGCTGAGCATTCAAAGCTAATAATTTACAGGGGAGACAAGTATAAAACAAATTGTAACCAGCAATATAATAAAAGTCTGTATAAAGAACTAGAAGTCAGATGAAGTGCTTAATTCTAAGGCAGATAGCAGCTAGACAACAGATACATCTCAGTAAAGTCTTTAGAAGATTAGAAGTTTGTCAAGCAAACAGTTTTGGGTGAACAAGAGATTTTTGGAAGGGCGAATAGCAAACAAGTATGGCTAGAGCAAATACAGCATACATATATAAAACAGCAGAACAAGGCTAAAGTGTTGTTCTTGTTTTTATTATCAAAGCTAATTATAGTTCATTACCAAAATATAAGAAATTATCTCACCAAGTCAATCAAATCACCTAGACACAAATAATCACATTAAAAATTACTGCTAAAAGCTTTTTCTTTTTAAGTCAAAAATCACAACAGAATTGTACAATCTGAAATTGAAACCCCTCGATACAGTTTGAAAGATATGATCACTATTTCCAGGAAGGTTAATGGTTAAAAAAGTAGGTTCCAATGGCTCAAAATAAAATGAGATATAAATCTTAGTATCTGTAAACATTTACCTCTCCCATTCCCCGAGATTCTAATGCAAGAGCTTGAAAATCATGATTCATTTCATCCACAGATCAAACCTGTTGAATAACAAAAAACAAAAATTAGCACAAAGAAATGTTGAAACAGATTTCTTCAGTTATTTTTATTAATATTATATTGCTACTATGGCTAATATCAGCATGGTCAGAGATTGATTTCTCTATGAAGGCAGGTTTTCCCACACAAAGTCCATGATAGCAATCACCTTAAAACCTGTGGAAAAACATGAGGTCAAGGGTTCTTGAATTATTCTGTATGCCAACGACTATGTGAAGGTAATGAAACACTAAAGCCCAGAAAATGGAGAACAGTCTACACTTTTAAGAAAGAACTAGCAGAGTAAGGTATTTTTTTTTTTTTTAAATGGCATTTCTGCCTGAGGGAAGCTGAATGTGGAACAGGGTCCTTAAATTCCTTTAAGAACCGAGCCTTAATGGCCTTAAGAACAAACAGAGTTTGGAGCAACCAGAGCTGCTGAAAGTAAGAAGGGGAATCCCAGAAAGGACACACCATGTCCTGTGTATGAATTATACTGGGATTTTTAGATGACCCTTGAACTGCACATATGTGGGACAGACACCAAGGAGCTCAATTAAGGCTAAAAGAATTGAGCAGAAATCTCTGCTGCTGACTACCACAAAAGTCACAGAAATTTGGAGGCTGAGTCCCAACAAAACCCAACATTTGGCTAGGTGCAGTGGCTCACACCTATGATCCCAGCACTTTGGGAGGCCAAGGTGGGTGATCACTTGAGGTCAGGAGTTTAACACCAGCCTGGCCAACAGGTGAAACCCTGTACCTACTAAATACATAAAAATTGGCTGAGCGTGGTGGCAGGTGCCTATAAAACCAGCTACTCAGGATGCTGAAGCAGAAGAATGGCTTGAACCCGAAAGGCGGAGGTTGGAGAGTCCTAGCTACTCTGGAAGCAGGAGAATCGCTTCAACCTGGGAAGCAGAGGTTACAGTGAGCCGAAATTGCACCACTGCTCTCCAGCCTGGGCGTCACAGAGAGACTCCGTCTCAAACAAACAAACAAAAATCCCAACACTCTCCAAAGAAACAGAAACATAACAGAATCTAGAGCTTCTTCAATACTTCAATCATGAAGTTTGGAATAATCTGTAATAACTAGACAGATGAGAAAAAAATGTGACCTGAGGGAAAAAATTAATTAATAAAGAACCACTCCAAGATGACCCAGGTTAGAATTTGCAGACAGGAATTCTAAAGCAACTACTGCAACTGTGTTCAAAGATGTAAAGAAAAATATGTTCCTAAGGAATGAACAAATATAAAATTTCAGCCAAGAAAGAGAAACTACAAAAATAGCCAATTCTAAAACTGAAAAAAAAAAAATCTTTTAAAATTTCACTGAATGCACTTAGCAGATTGTAAAACAACAAAAGGGTGAGTGAACCTGAAAACATATTGACAAAATTTTTGATTTGAAGAACAAATAAGAAAAAAGTGGAAAAAAATGAACAGAGCTTCAGTGACCTATAGAATGTCAAAGCCAAATAAAACAGAGATGATTTTCTAGGCCGGGCGTGGTGGCTCACGCCTGTATTCCCAGCACTTTGGGAGGCCAAGGCAGGTGGATCACAAGGTCAGGAGATCGAGACCATCCTGGTCAACATGGTGAAACCTCGTCTCTACTAAAAATACAAAGAATTAGCTGGGCACAGTGGCACGTGCCTGTAATCCCACCTACTCAGGAGGCTGAGGCAGGAGAATTGCCTGAACCCAGGAGGCGGAGGTTGCGGTGGGCCGAGATCGCGCCATTGCACTCCAGCCTGGGTAACAAGAGCGAAACTCTGTTAAAAAAAAATAAAACAGAGATGATGTTCTAAATTGAAAATGCTGTATTTAGGAAGCAAGAATCTAATTTTGGTGTGGTGGCTCATACCTATAATCCCAGCAGTTTGGGAGGCCAAGGAGGGTGGATCACCTGAACTCAAGGAGTTAAGAGACCAGCCTGAGCAACATGGTGAGATTCTGCTTTTAGAAGAAATTTAAAATTTAGCTGGGCATGGTGGTGCATGTGTGTGGTCCCAGCTACTCGGGAGGTTGAGGTGGGAATACTGCTTGAGCCCAAGCGGTCAAGGCTACAGTAGTAAGCCATAATTGTGCCACTATACTCCAGCCTGGGCAGCAGAGCAAGACCCTGTCTCAAAAAAAAAAAAAGGGAAGAGAAAAAAACAAAGAAAAGAAAGAGAAAGTAAGGGGGGAGGGAAGGGAAAGGAAAGGAAGGAAGAGAGAAAGAGAAAGAGGGGAAGGAAAGAAAATAATGTAATTTGGAGCATACATATACCGACTGAATGGTTTTGGGTATGTCTGAAGAACAAACAGAAGGCTAAAAGTTTTTAGAGAAATGTTATAGACTGTTTGACAGACTGGTACTAGACAAGCTTTTGAGAACTGGCAAGCTCTGACTGGTGAGTGACTGTGGTAGATGAAGCCAGTCTCCGAGTCATGGCAAGTTGTTTCAGGTGCTACTAGGTAAAACTGGTCTTAGGGTTACAGAGGGCCATTTCTACAGCTGAGCTTGCTGAAAATTTAATTTTTGGATCAGATGATAAGTGCTCAAGTGCCTTTTTCCTCTGGACCCTAGATTTTGATTTAATTGGGTGTTACAAGAATGACCTAACATGTATAACTTTCACAGGAACAATACCAAAAGGTGTAACTTACATATAACTGGAGTTCAAGGAATGACCAGGGTGGCAGAAATACTGAAGAAACAATGGCCAGAAATCTCCCCAAATTTGGTGAGAGTCAAATTTACAGATTTAAGAAGCTCCATGAACCCCAGAAGAGAGACAAATAAGAGAAAAAGAAAAAAAAAAGGCCCAGCGTGGTGGCTTATGGCTGTAATCCAAGCACTTTGGAGGCCAAGGCAGGCAGATCACAGGAGGTCGGGTGTTTAAGACCAGTCTGACCCCGTCTTTAAAAAAAAAAAAAAAGAAAAAGAAAAAAAAAAAAATCCCACACCTACATTCATTATAAAAACTGAAAAATCAAAGATAAAAAAGTCCTCAAGATCACCAGAAGAAAGCAATATATTACATAAAGAGGAACAATGGTATATGAATGACTGCTAACTGGAACCAGAAACAACGGGGTCCAGAACATAAAGGACAAGATTTTAAAATGCTGAAAGGAGTGTCAATCCACACTTTTATACCTGCTAAAAATATCATCTTAGAATAAAGGCTGAAAGACTGTAATATTGGTAAAATGTAATTTTGGCCTTTGTCCATTTCCTGGCAAAAAGCTCCTAAAACCCCTGGAATGTCTGAAGTGATGGGTGTTTTCTGTATTATGTATGATAATGAGCTGACTGACTACTGGGGGGTTGGGGCACTGGTTACCAGGGGAACGATCCTTTTGATTAGAGAGTCTGAACTTTCAGTTCCCCCTTCCGCTTCCAGAGAGGAACTGAAGACTTAGTTGATCATCAAGGATTTTGACGCCTACATAATGAGGTGAGGCTTCTGCAAAATACCAAAAGGTCTGAGTTCTGAGAGCTTACAGATAGCTGAACTCTTGGAGGTTCCTGGAGAGCATACCTCACTCTAATGTATCTCTTCCATCTAGCTATTCTCAATGGTATCCTTTGTATGTAACAATGTGTTTCTCTGAGTTCTGTGAACTATTCCAGCAAATTAATTGACCAAAGAAGGTCAGTGGAACACCTGATTTACAGCCAGTCAGTCAGAAGTCTAGGTGACAACCTACAACTTGTGACTAGTGTCTGAAGTAGGAGGGACAGTCTTATAAACCTAAGCCCTCAATCTGTGGGAGCAGATGCTTTCTCTAGGGAGACAGAGGACAGAAATGAGTTAGAGAACACCCAGCTGATGTCCACTGGAGAATTTGCTGCAGAACTGACTGCTTGATAAGCATATCAAGCAATACATGTGGGGTTATAGAAATGTCCTGTGCTTTAACAGTACAGTAGGAGAAACTGTGTTTTTCACCCTATAGCCTTACATTTGGTGTCAGAAGTGGGATTTGCTAACACAGCTCTGGCTCACAGAAACATGGTCTGGTTCAAACAACTTGGGGAGGTTTGGGAATAGAAAGAACGAAAGGACGAGAAACTTTTAATTCCTAGGTAGCCATGTGATCGCTCACAGGACGGAACAAGAACTGTGCTGCTCTTTACAAAAGGTAAAAGTTACCAATGGAACTTAAAGATGGACTTCGCTGGATGTGTAAGAAAATGCAGACTAATTCTGAGGAGAAATATTCAATCCCTTGGTTACTGTTATCCACAACAGATAAAATAAAGTGCTAGGTCAGACCTTAATGCACGACCAACCTCAGATTTCAGTGACTGAGCTTTGGCCACCTTAAAGCCTTAAAGCTGTCCTCCCAAGAGAAAAGTTATGCAGAGACAACATAAAGTACCTCTAATCTAAGGGCCATGGTTACCAAGAAGTTAGTCAATGTGGGAAAACGGTAAAGTCAAGAAACTGTTAAAAACCAGTATCTAAAGCAGGAATTAAAAAAAGAAAAATGAAAAAACCAGTATCAGTAGCAGACATGAATTTTTCTCAAGAGTCAAAGTAAGCACTAGAGCTTTTACCTTTTTGCTTACTTTCAGGTTTTTATCAGTAGTCCACATAGATGAGGTCACATAAGTTAAAGAACCTCTGGATAATTTTAAGAGGGCTCTTAGCTCTTTGGATCCATTCTCACTGTTGGGATAAATCACACCCCTAGTGTAGGTGTCAACATTTTAGGCTTTGCAGGCCATATGATCTCTGTGGCAGCTACTCAACTATGCCTCTGTAGCAGGAAAGCACCTATAGACAACACCAAAATGAATGAGCACAGATATTTCCCGATAAAACTTGATAAACTGTAAAATTTGAGTTTCATGTGGTTTTCATGTGTCGAAAATTATTCTTCTAAAATTTTTCCCAACAATTAAAAAATACAACAACCATTCCCACAGAGGTGCCATACAAAAACAGGTGATGGGTCAGATTTGGCTTGCAGGCCACAGTTTACTGACCTCTGCTCTATTTCACTTTCTCTCTTGACTGCACCTTAAAATGCAAATACACAAAATCCACTTCCAAATATGAGTATCCCTAAAGTTAAGCACCAGGGCTTTGCTTTTAACTTTTTCACTTTTACTACTTGACGTGTTTTTGTCAACAAATGGGGGTTTCAGATCATATCTAAATGGAAGTAATTTTATTATCTTTCAATGATCAGGGTAGTTATAGTAAAAAGACTTTAAAGTTGAAGGGATCAGGAGACAGTTGCCCATACGCCACTAAGTGGGACCCATAAATTTCTACAGTATGTCAATCTGCTCTCTTAAATAGCTACAAATGCGATGTTATCTGATGGCAGAAAAGTTGGAATTTGGACATAAATTTAGTGACTTTATCCTCAATGATTAAATCTTAGGCAGAAAAGATCTTTTCGAACAAGCAACAGAACCTACTAGCAACTGGTTATATACTATTTCACTGTTTATTAGAAAAAATATGTATTCAGAGCTATGGCACAATGTACTGCTAGGGGTATAAATTCTGTCTTCAATTATTTTGTTGGTCTGCATTATTAAAGCTCAAACCTTCAGTATTATTCCCTCTAATAAATAATTAGAACTTACCAACATAGAAAATATATGATAGAAACTTTTCTTTGGCCAAGACGCAGTATAATCTTATATTTGAATTAAAAAGTCATTTTTGAGGTTATGACTGCTTTCTAGCAAAAGAAAATAAATGATAGTGTTCTTATTTTGCTCATTCTAAACTTTAACAATATTAGCTAATTTTTCTATGGGCAGATTATCACTAATGATGTGAGGAAAAATAGGTGAAGCACTCAAAATAACAACCTGATTCAGCTCCGTGATAGTTTTCCTATTTACTAGTGCATAATTCAAAAAGTCAACAACTGAGCACAGTGGCTCACGACTATAATCCCAACATATTGTGAGTCTGTGGCGGGAGGATCACTTGAGGCCAGGAATTCAAGACCATCCTTGGCAACATAGGGAGACTTATCTCTACAAAAAATTTAAAAAATTATCCGGGCATTATGGTGCATGCCTGTGGTCTCAGCTATTTGGGTGAGTTTAGAGGATCGCTTGAGCTTGGGAGGTTGAGGCTGCAGTGAGCCACAGTCAGAGTAAGACCCTGTCTCAAAAAAGAAAAAGAAAAAACAAAAACAAAAAATTGACAAATATCTTGCATAAAGAACCAAGAAAATGCACTGACATAGAATACTGACATCACTAAACATATTTGTTTTGGCTGGGCATGATGGCTCATGCCTGTAATCTCAGCTCTTTGGGAACCCGATATAGGAGGAAGACGACTTGAGCCCAGACGTTCAAGACCAGCCCTGGGAACATAGTGAGACCCTGAGATATGGTTTGGATCTGTGTCCCCACCCAAATCTCATGTCAAAATGTAAACCCCAGTGTTGGGGGTAGGGCCTGGTGGAAGGTGACTGGATCACTGGGGCGGAGTTCTGATAAATGGATTATTGCCATCCCTTCAGTGCTATTCTTATGATAGTTTTTCTAAGATCTGGTTGCATGACAGATGCATGTCACCACGCTCGGCTAATTTTTGTATTTGTATAGACGGGGTCTCCCTATGTTGCCTAGGTTGGTCTCAAACTCCTGGGCTCAAGCAATCCTCCTGCCTCAGCCCCTCAAAGTGTTAGGATTACAATCGTGAGCCATCGCCCACAGCTGGATTGATTTTAATGAACATAATCATTGAACATTAGGGGTATCTACAGCAAACAAACAAGTGCTGAATTCCTAAGGAATACTTTCTTCTGCTTAGCAAATTTAATCCTTTATTGCAAATCTGCCAACAAAATATTTTTGTTTACCAATGCCTTTTCTCATTCACATGACAAAAGTAAATCTATATCCAGGTTTAGCTATTTATAGAAAACCGTCAGCCTTCAAAGATTTAGCAAAGTTTCTACTATTCAAACCAACTCTCAGTCATTTCTTATTTTTCTGAGGGCATAAACTGAATTACAGTTTTTAGTGACGATGAACAAGTCACTTAGCTAGTGGGTCAATCAAAATCTATGTGAACAGTTTGTTTTTTAGTCCATATACTTTCATGGGGGAGTTATCTATGCTTGTTTTACCAGCAAGGCAGAAAACTCTGTAAAAAAGAATAGTATTATTGACTCAATTATAATAAGGAAAAGTCAAGTTTTATGTTTTGAATGAAATTTGGCATAAAAGTTAGTGTTATCAATATACAGACTTACACAAACCAGAAAGCTCCTTCAAAGACCTTATTAGCTCAAAGTTAAAATCTTTTAATTAAATGTTTTATTTCAGCTCCATAATTCAGACAAATCTACCTATGTGCAAATATAAGATTTCTGTTCCATTAAAATTCTCTAAAAGGGGAATCGCCATATATTTGAGCTCTTACAGAAGTCTCTCATATTACAATGCATCCTCTCCACTGACTTATTTGGAGAATCAAAACACTGCTTAAGAAAAATTGCCCAATCTTGAAAAATATACAACTTATAGAAAATCTACACATGAAACAGCCTCAATCTATGCTGGGTATTGATGTGTTAGGTATTGCCAGAGAGAAGCATGTCAAATAATTTAGATGGAAATGAAGATGACAAGCTTTAGAAAACTGTTTAGATAACATAAAAAGTGGTTCTCTTTTTTTTTTTTTTTTTTTGAGACAGGGTCTCACTATTGCTCATGCTGGAGTGCAGTGGCATTGACGATGGCTCTCTACCGTCCTGACCTCCTGGGCTCAAGTGATCCTTCTACCTCAGTATCCTAAGAAGCTGGGATTACAAGCACACACCAGGTATACCCAACTAATTTTTGTATTTTTTTTGTAGAGACGGGGTTTGCCAGCCATGTTGCCCAAGCTGGTCTCAAACTCCTGAACTCAAGTCATCTATGCCTTGCCTTGGCCTCCCAACATGCTAGGATTACAGGTATGAACAAACGCACCTGGTCTAAAAAGTGGTTCTAAAGTCAATGATACATTATGAAATGAGCAGTATTTCTTTCCTTTTTTTTTTTTTGAGACAGGGTCTTGCTCTGTTGCCCAAATTGCAGCCTTGACCTCCCAGGCTCAAGCAATCTTCCCATCTCAGTCTTCTGAGTAACTGGGACCCCAGGTGCCATCAGGCCTGGCTAATTTTCTTTTTCTCTCTCTTTTTTTTTTTTGGTACAGATGGAGGTCTCGCTATGTTGCCCAGGCTTATCTTGAACTCCTGGGCTCAAGTAATCCTCCCACCTTGGCCTAACCAAAGTGCTGGGATTACAGGCATAAGTCACCACACCTGGCCTAGTATTTATAAATTAACATTATTTTCTGTGATTTAAAATGTGACATCACCCTAATAGTGGAGTAAGACATTATATAACTCATGATGTAATGTAGTATGAAACACTACCACCACATATGAAGAACTACCTTAAAAAAAGACTAAGCTTCAATCTAATATTATAATACATCTACTCATCTAAATACTGATTGACCAGAAATGTGAAACAAAGAACAAATTTAACAGTTAACATAAAAAAGTAACTGCCAAATCCAGAATATGAAAAAAGAAAAAAAAAAAATCACTTGATTTCACTAACATATTTATAACATAAAATTTTGAAAGTCAGAGGGGGAAGCAGATTACATAGACTGTGGTATAGGCAGGCCTAAATGTGAAAAAAAATTTGTGTAAGCCTTGTTTGAATCCTGCTTCTCATAAACCAACTATAAAGGCTTCTTTGAGAAAAACCAGGGAAACTCAAATATAGAATGAGTATTAGATAACAGTAAGGAATTATGTTAGTTATGATACTAGCAAGAGGATTGGGTTTGTTTTTTATAAGTCCTCATCTGTAAGAGAATTTATGCTTGAAATGGCATACTGTTTTGGATTTACTTCAAAATACTCCTCTAAAAAGTAAAATACAGGTTTAGATAAGATTTCACACAATGTGGAATACAGATAAAGTTCACAATACTTACTATTCTATGTGTTTGAAAACTTCATAATAAAGTTTAATAAATGAAAAGGCTAGTTGGTTAGAAAAATATAAAGTTTAATAAAATACATACAGCAGTTTGACAAAAAGCCACATGAAGCAAGTGGTATTTAAGCTGGGCCTTGAAGGTTAGTTACACAATTTGGACAAAGATTTTTTTAATAACATTTATAAACTGCAGTTTTATAAAGGGGGTTAGTAGCCGGGCACGGTGGCTCACACCTATTTTCCCAGCACTTTGGGAGGCCGAGGTGGGTAGATCACAAGGTCAAGAGATCAAGACCTTCCTGATCAACATGGTGAAACCCCGTCTCTACTAAAAGTACAAAAAATTAGCTGGGCATGGTGGCGCATGCCTATAGTCCCGGCTACTTGGGAGGCTGAGGCAGGAGAATTGCTTGAACCCAGGAGGCAGAGGTTGTGGTGAGCTGAGATTAACGCCATTGCACTCCAGCCTGGGTGGCAAGAGCAAAACTCCAACTCAAAAAAAAAGAAAAGAAAAGAATAAAGGGGGTTACTGTGCTTGAGGTTAATTCACTTAGAGTCCAAGCCTTCACATGTGCTTAATTTGGCTAATTACTTCCTCAACCATACTTTTGACTAGTGTATGAAAAATTTTCCTAAAAACTGATTTCCAAATAAGCTCAAATTTTGGAGACTAATTTTTAATCAGACAACCTTACCCTAAAGAGAATAACAAATTTTATTGAGTACGCATTTTATGCCATAGATCGTACCAGGCACATTATATATAATGCTCACTACAATCTAGCAAAG